GGTGGGGGAGGAGCCTGGCGTGAAGTAGATACTCCAGTTTGCTGCTCTAACCTGGCAATTGTCTCTGCCTGCTGGGTTATGGCCACAGCCTGTTGTTTGGCGATTTCCGCTTGACGGACAGCGTCATGCTGCATGGCTTTCATGTTATCCTGGAGTTGGCGCACCATCTCTTCCAGGCTCAACATACTGTTTTAATCTAATTGGGCAACCGGTATATCTGTGTCGGTAATAGGCTCGGGAATCTCAGCCCGACTGCTCAAAGATCACTGATCTGGTAGCTATTGTACTGGTGGCCTGTGCCTGACTAGCCTTCTCTGGCCCTGATTACCCTTGAACTGAATCTCTGACCTGACAAAGTCTATCAGCACAAGTCCGATGAACCTCGGGGGATATCGGAGCCTTCTGAAGCTATGGTTCCAAGACTACCCTAGCAAAACAGAAAATAGAGAGCATCTCAGCCTAATTTCACTGGAACGGATTTGAGCATAGCGGAACGACTGTACTCAATACTGATCACTGTTCCCCAAATTTCCGTTCCCAAAATACTGAATCTGATACCCGCGGATATAACTGATTCTCAAATTCTGGTACCAATGCCCTTAGGCCTGATGCCCCAAACTTGCAAACTGGTATGTACGTTCCTGTAGAGATACACTCTAAAAGCACATAGCAAGTAAGAGAGAGCCAAAACACCCCTATGTTGGGGTAGGGTTTCCCTGTCCTATTTTGTCAGGAGAAACTCAAAATCGGGCAGCTCGAGCCACAAGGTGTTCGAGCTACGTAGGGGAGCTGATTTGAATATTAGAGAGCTTGAGGGCCCATGAGCCCATCATGGATCACATTTCAATGATTTAAATATTTTATTTTATAAAACACTCTATGCCTATTATTTATATAAAAAATTAAGTCAATTCGATAACCGTAATTTTTTTTATTTTATCATATTTATATCTAAAAATAGATGGTTCATTTAAGAAAAAATTAGCCTAAGGTCCCTCCCCCAATTTTAGTAATGGAAGAGATCCACAATATTATTTTATGATGTCTAAGGTCCCTCAATCCCACACCCCATGTATTACAGAGAAATTTGGTATAAGCTTGAAACCTTCACCTCTCTCTCTCTTCTCCCTCTCTTCTCTCGCTCAGACTTACGCCTCACCTCTTATCTCTCATCGCTGCTTTGCTCTCTCTTTCGTCACCAGAACTTGAACTGAAGTCTTCAGTGGGTCACAGAGAAGTCACTGATTTGTCGGCACCACGGCAGTCGCGGAGGGGTTACCACAATCCATCGCCAGAATCTGAAGCAAAAGCATTACATCCTTCTGGCCCTGATCATAAACATCTGAAGTCCAGCGACCAAAATCCTGATATTTCTCCTCCTCGTAAGCGGAGGCCTAGGTATGACACACCTTCACCAGAACCCAATCTCAGACCATTGGAGTCTGCAGTGAGGTTGCTGATTTGTCACGGCCACATAAGCAACAACATAGTCATTATACTCCATCACCAGAACCTGAAACAAAACAATTACTTTTTTCATAGCTAGCCTCTCTTATCTCTTTTTTTTCCTTGTCTTTTGTTCATCAATATCAGTTCCAGAGAAATTCAAAATTTCTCTGGAGATAAATTCAGAGCAGAATTTCTCTGTTGATTGGTGTGAAATGGCAAGAGTAAATGGAAATTTGAAACATCAGTACAGCCACTTACAACAGTAGCAACAATGGTGGAGGATCAAACCCATGGCAAAGAAAGTTGAAATTTCTCTGAAGTCCATGAAATTGTGATTGAATTGTAATTGAAGAACTATTAGTTTGTTTGTGCAAGAAATTGTGATTGAATCAGTAGCAGTAGAACCAAAGATAAATTGATCAAATTAGAGTTTTATAGTTCCAGAGAAAATTCAGAATTTCTCTAAGTTCAACCTAGAGAAAATTCAAACTTCTCTATTTAGTAGCTTCTCACCTTGCAAATTTGCAATGATTATGTGGGTGATAAAGTTCCTAATAGACAAAGCAGTTCCTCTGACTTGGGACTTGGTGGACATTCTCGTCATCTCCTAACTATGCAAAACTGTGTGCACGCGTGTGTGCATGATACATAGAGGGAAGTCGGTACCGTGCCTATTTAGTACTTATTGCCTTAGTACATCAGTTGGCCTTCGCTTCAAAAATGTTCTTGTGTGTGCTTTTATTTTGGGCTTATGCATGATCTGTTGGTGGTACAGAAGCAGCCAAATGTGTCTGTTTATCCATGCAGTTAATCAATGCCTGCAACAACAACGAAAAAGAAAAAAATCATTTTTTTGGCCCAAAAAGAAGGGAAATGATCATTTAAGTGTTGACTGAGTTGTGTATTGAACTTTCAACTTTCTCAAGTGTCCTATCTTTGGAAAGAACCAAGGAGTTTTTTCAAATATGATTAGACAAAGTGCTACTAATAATGAATTTTGCAGTGATTAATATTCTGTGGAGCTTTGGATGGACCTGAAGCCCATTGCTTGTTGCAAAGGTGAAAACTTCGGGCTGTCAAAATAAAAGCGTGGCTTCAGAATTTAGGGAACAATATCTGATATGGGCCTTTAAGAAACTTGCTACTTTGTAATTATGGAAGTGGTAACTAATGATTAGGAGATTTGATATGAATCTGCCAGTCATTTCTTTTTTATTATTATTTTTCTTTGTTAACCTGTAAACTGCATTGAATGATCTTATATATCGAATGAATATGCCATTTGTTGTATGTTGAAAACTGGTAGGTTATGAGTATTTTGTTTCAGTTAAGTAATTAGGATCAATTAAGTATTTTGTTTCATTTGAAGTTGAAACCAGAGAAATTCTCTGGTTTTTGAACTGAATTTTCTCTGGGTTAAAACCAGAGAAATTCTCTGGTTTTTGAACTAAATTTTTTCTGGACCAATTTTCTCTGTGACGTGAATTTTCTCTGGACCAATTTTCTCTGGGACTGAAATTTCTCTGAATTGATGTTGAAGGACCTTAGACATCATGAAAATATTTGATGTCCTTTATACTATAAAATCATAATATCAGGGACCTTAAAAAAAATACCCCTTTAATTTAACAATGAGTTAATTACTTACTATTATATTTTTACAAAAATTTCGCTTTTCTTATCTAAATTTTTGTTAGTATAAAATAAAATAAAATTAAGGTTTGACTTTTGTACCAAAATAAAACTTTTTTTTTTAATTTCATTAATTTAAATTCTAAATTTTGATTTGTTTTGAATTTAAATCATTTGCTTATTTTCATGAAACAAAAAAGTATTTAATCATTAAACTGAATGAAAAGAATCAGGCATTTAGCCTAATGGTTGTATAGTGGAAAAGAATTTTATATCTTTTGTGGTGACATTTATTTGTTCCCCATTATTATGGGGTTGTAGGTGATTAGTAGTTATAGGGCTTGGACTTTAGACATTTTATATATAATAAAATATTATTTTTCTTGAGATTTTACTTTATCAAAATGTACAAATCGTTTACAGTAAAAATAAATTAAAAGATTAAGAATTTAATTGATAAAACTAAAAAGGAATTTTTTTTAAGGTCCCTCATATTAAGATTTTATAGCATAAAGGACATGAAATATTTTCATAGTAATTAGGGTCTCTCAATTTTTAAAGAGAAATTTCGATCCAAAGAAATTTCGACACACAGAAATTTGTCTAAAATTTGTCAGTTTTAAATTTCTCTAATTTGAGATTTCTCTAGTTTGCTCAATTTCTCTGTATTTTCAAATTTTCTCAAGTCCGAAATTTCCCTAGTTTGCTCACAATTAGGTTACTAATTTAGGTTACTTGTTTGATTTTCACTGATTAGTTGTCTCCTTGTGTATAATTTCTTCTTTGAGATGAATTTTCTCTAGTACTAAGATATCCCTTTTAGATTAATTTTCTCTGAAAACACTGGTCTTCCTTTTTCTCTGTGCCTTGCTTGATTTTCTCTCAAATTTTCTCTAGTATTAGAATTTCTCTGCCCACATTAAACTCCCACTAATTTATGCTGCTTGTTTGATTTTTATTAGTTTGTTGCTTCCTTATGCTGAATTTTCTCTAGCATCTGTATTTTCTCTGACTACAATAAAGTCCAATTTCTTTTTGTGGCTTCTTGATTTTCTCTGTCTAGTTGTATGCTTAGGTGTGTAATTTTCTCTGTTTGAAAAAATTTCAAGGATTTGACATCTTTAATGCTGAATTTTCTATCATTGTGCTGAATTTCCTATTGACATCTTTATGTTTTCATTGCCTAAAAATGGCAAAACGCAGTAGTAGCAAAACACTTGAAGCACCACAAAAGAAACAGAAAGTTGTTGAGTCTTCTAGTTATGGGCTAAGATCAAAATGTAACAATAGCAAAACACTAGAAACACCGCAAACAAAACAAAAAGTCTCTGTCACTACTAATTATGAGCTGAGACCTAAAGGCATCAGCAAAACACCATAAACAAAAATAGAAAGTCCAAACCCAAGAGGCAACTAGCATCAAGAAGACACCAACTCTAAAAGTCTCAAGCTCAAAGGAAAAAAGAAGTTGCAAAGAAAATCAATCTCAACCAAACTACTAGCTTCAATAATATCAAGCAAGCACATAGAGTAAAGTGAATCCAATGTGTTTAGAGAAAATTGTGATGACAGAGAAAATTCATTTCAATAGGAAAAATATACACAATGAGACAACTAACCAGTGAAAATCAAACAAGAAACATAATTGGATGGGTCAGGAAACATTTAGATGCTAGAGAAAATCAATCAAGGTACATAAGGTAATGTGATTATAATTGTGGTTAGAGAAAATTCAAATTCTAGAGAAAATTCATCACATGAAAGAAACTAATCAGTGAAAATCAAAACAAATTCAAAGAAGAGAATCCTAAGATTGAAGAAGCCATTATTATTTGCTTTAATTTTGTTATTGTTCTCAATTTAGAGAGAGAGTCACGGCGGTGAGAAAGGCTATGACGGAAGAGAGTAGAGAGAGAAAAGAGAAAGTAGGTGTGATAAATGGGTGTGGGTGAGGGATTTTAGGCTAAAAAAAATTATAAATCTTTCCCATTAGTAAAAGTTGGAGAAAGATGTTTGGTCAATTTTCCTAGAACTAAAATTAAAGATTTATAAAAGTTAAATTTATTATTATTTTCATTAATTTTCTCAATTTTGTATGGAAAAATTACAAATGAGTGTATGTTTTCAAAAATAATTGTGTACTACTACAGTCTGTACTCCTCTCTTCCTCTCTCTCACTCACTCTCAGGCTCTATCTCTCTCGATCTCTCCTCTCAGACACACAGTGACAGAGTTTGAAGAAGATGTTAAGAAGAAGAGTTTCTGTTTCTTCGATTATTGGACGAAGAAGAAGAAGAATTGCCGATCATAATTGTCAAAAAGGTACAATATTTCCCTCTCTAATTAATCATCCCTCTTCTTTCTTATTTGTTCTGTTTCGTTGTTCTCTCTCTACTACTACCCGAAACCCTAAAACTTCACCAACACTGCGATGCAATGATCTCCAAGACGCTGTAAATTCGTTCAATCGCATGATCCAAATGCGACCTTTCCCCTCCATTTCTCAATTCAACAAAGCTGTAGGTCCTCTTTTGAAAATGGGTCATTACGACCTTGCACTTCCTCTTATTGGGAAATTGCATTTTCTAGGCATTCAGGTCGATATCTGCACCTTTAACATTGCTATTAACTGTTATTGCCGCCTGAATCAAGTCCATTTTGGGTTCTCTCTTTTGGGTACCCTCTTCAAACGCGGTTATACACCTGATGTAACTACCTTCAACACTCTGTTAAATGGACTTATTTTGGATGATAAAACCCCTGAAGCTGTAGCGTTATTTAAGAAATTAATGAGAATGAGAGAAATTGAACCCGATGTGGTTATGTATGGAACCATTGTTAATGGGCTCTGCAGAACGGGGAACACTATCAGGGCTGTTAGTTTGCTTAGGATAATGGAAGAGGGAAGCTGTAAACCTGACACCATAGTGTATAACACGGTCATTGACAGTCTTTGCAAGGATAGAATGGTGGATGATGCTTTGAAACTCTTTTCTAAGATGAATGAACATGGCATTCTTCAAGATGTTGTCACTTATACCTCTTTGATTCATGGCCTATGTAATTTTGGCTGGTGGAAGAAGGCTACCGGAATGTTTAGAAAAATGTTGGATAGTGGTATTGCTCCGAATGTTCATACGTATAGTGTGTTGCTGGATGCATGTACCAAGGAAGGGAAGATGAAAGAGGCAGAGGTGGTACTTGAAATCATGATACAAAGAGGTGTGGATCCTAATATAGTCACATACAATGCTCTAATGGATGGATATTGTTTGCAAGGCGACATCGATGAAGCAATGAGAGTGTTCAATACAATGGTGGATAGGGGACTTCACCCTGATGTTTTTAGCTATACCATTCTAATCAATGGATATTGTAAGAAAATGAAAATAGATGAGGCTATGCATCTCTTTCGAGAAATGCCTCGGAGGGGGTTGCAACCTAACACCGAAACCTTCAGTGCTATGCTACAGGGTTTGTTTCGATCAAGTAGATGTGGAGCTGCTCAAAAACTTTTTAATGATATGCAAACTGCAGGCATAAATCTAGATTCTCAAACTTATGGTATCTTATTGGATGGGTTGTGCAAAAATGGGCATATTTCTGAAGCATTGTCATTATTCCACATGATGGAAAGCAAGGGTTTACTTCTTGATATTGTTAAGTATAATATCCTCATTGATGCATTCTGCAAGGATAAAAAGTTTGACACTGCAAGGGCCATTTTTAGTTACCTTTCTTCCAAGGGATTACAACCTGATGTTAAGACATACACTATCATGATACAAGGTCTTTGTGAAGAAGGCCTACTACATGAAGCTAAAGAGTTGTTTGTTAAAATGGAACATAATGGTTGCTTGGCAGATGATGTCACTTACAACACTATTATCCGAGGATTTATTGGACAACACAAGTGCTATGAGGCATTAATACTTGTTGAGGAAATGGTTCAAAGGGGTTTCTCAGCAGATGCATCCACTTTTCTTTTGATTGTGGATATACTCTCAACTAAAGGACAAGATCCCGCTCTTCGAGAAGTGATAAAGAAGTTCATGCCAAAAGATAATCATGGAATGCATGATATTGAGTAAATTTTTTAAGCTGTGAAGGTAATTCTACATTATACTAAAACGTGTATTTTATCCCAAATAAATATATTTATACTAGCACGTCCTCGTATAGGCCTATGCTCACAAAAAGTGTGTTATTAGGTGAAACTCATTTATAGATGTTGCATTATGATATTCTTTCTTGTACTGATATGTACCAAACTTACTACAAAAATGGTACACGAAGTGGTATGATATTAACAAAATTGGTTGGGTTTTATTATACCTCTTCTCTTACACTAGGATGAACTTATTGAATTGTCATTTGAAAAAAATGGTAAAAATTAAATGCTTAGGGAATGATCACTACGTTTACATAAAATAATAATAATAATAAAATTAAAAGTTTTATTAACAACATGTTGCGTAATAACTAGATGTTGCTGAATGTTCACTACTATAGTGTCGTAGCAGCCTTTTCAGCAAGGTAAGCATCATTTATGTTTTCAAGAATTTTTGAGTTTTATTAATGGTTAGATGTTGCTAATAACTTATAGATTCTCTTATGATGTTGCTCACTAATTGAGTACTTATTATCAATGTTTGAATATATTTACCTGTTGTTTTTGATGAACAAGGTAAAGCAGCTAAACTATACAATTTTGTCTATGGGCTAAATTTGTTAAAATGAGGCAAAAGTGATCTATGCTGCTGATTTCTATATCTTTTGTTCACAATACCAAATGCAGCCCGATGGATATTATTTAGGCTGAAGTGGCCTAAATGGTGCTCTTTTCCTGATGGATGTTGAGTTGAGCCAACACCCAGCAATTTACCTGTAGTATTTGAGAATAATTCTACTTGTCAACCTTTCAATTTTGTGTGGTATAAGAATAAAGTCCATGTATCTAGGAAATCTCTCTCTCTCTCTCTCTCTCTCTCTTGCTGGTAAGAACAGAGAAACGATTTCTCGAAAAGCAATGGCTGGCTGCTTACCTGATAGTGGTTGACAAATTAGTATTAAGGATTTTCCCATCTAAACAAACCACTGTTTTCTATATGAGATTGTAAATACAGTTTCATGGTTAGCCGTTTGACCTCTAATGCATGCAGTGAGAAGCTAATTACCGAGGCATAGCTACCAATAAAGCTAGAAGCATTTTTCAGGAACAAAGTTGTACAAGAACTGAAGTCCAATGCAGACGAAGCTCAGTCGTTGCAAAGATCGAAGTAGCAATTAAAGAGTTCTACATTGGATTTATGTGTTGTGGTTGTGCCTTAGTATGCCCATTTTATAGTTGTTTTTGGATAATTCTTGCGAATATATTTGACCTGAAACACCCCCGCCCCAACCCCTTAACATTACTTTCACCTGTGTGTGGAGACAATCACCACCAAAAAGGGAAAATGGGAAGAAGTACAGGCTCACCTTGTTGATCAACCGATAGCTAGCTCTAAAAATCACTTCTTCCACTTGATTCTTCAAAAGATAATTGTAATGTTGGTAAGAACATCCTACAGTTTATGTGGCATTCAAGAAAGAGGGTGGGTTTAGGTATTTGTTTTCTTTCCTTGGTCCTGTAGCTATGGTAAATGATATTGGCTACTTCTGCAAGAACAGAATAAGGAAAAAAAATATAGCAATGACATATTCATTCTAGCTACACTAGAGGCATATCTAATAATAAAATCATTTGTTTTGAAATCAAGTTCTACTCTATGATATAACATATGCTCATTCGTGATGAATTTGTTGTTGAAGTGCGATCTTGGCATGTTAAGCCATCTTTGCAACCATGTGTGGCTTCCAGAAACCAACTTTAATTTGTTTAAGCTTAAACAATGCACAAAACTACCTGTCAATGGAAAAAAAAGTTAAAATAAATCTTGGCTAGTTTATTTTATATTGTCACATTTCCAAAAAAAATATTGTCACCCTTTCATTTTTCACCTAGTTTTTTTATCAGTAAAGTAAAAATTTCATTAAAAACATGAAATGAAGTGTGATCTTTATTAGCTTTGACTCAGCACTAGGCTCTTGTATATTTATTTATGATTGCAAATATCAGTCTTCTTCATTCTTTTCTAGGAGATTGGTATATATATATATATATATATATGTGCACTTATATATAAGAGGGAGTTAGTAGTTGCTCCAGTAAACATGGCTCTCTTTTTGCTTTCCATTTTTGCCCTCCTTTATTCTGTTCAGCTTTTGTTTTATTGAAGAGTTTTAGATTAATTGGTAAATGCACAGATTACTCACTGTGTGTGTCGGAGAACCAGCACATCTCCCTCTTCCTAACCACGTCTACCGTCTGCCTCTTCTCTCTCATTATGTCGTCTCACTCTCTTTCTCTCAGTCCTTACATCTCTCTTTCTATCTCTCGACAATGACAGTGAGATCACATTATGGACGACGGTCAATGGCTCACAATGAAAATTGTACTAGAGATGGGTTAAATGTAGGCGATTTGGATGACGATGGGTTTGTGATTTGTACGACGATCTCGAAGCTGTGTTGGACCAGATCTATGGGTTTAACTCTGCGTTCAACCAATGTCAAATGAGGTATCAAAGAGCCTTTGGCCTTGTTTGGTTTGTATTTGAGAAACATGTTTTGAGATAAAAAGTACGAAAATTTGTTTGGTTTGGTTTTTTTTCAAAAGATGTTTTGAAAAATTATTTTGAGAGAGAGTTTTGAAAAAAAATGATTGATTTGATGTGTATGAGAGAAAGATTTGTTTGGAAAATTTGTAAACCAAACAAGTTTTGAAAAAAAAATTTGGAAAAATTTGTTTGGTTTGATTACTTTTGAAAACTTATTTGTAGAGAATTTTTCCCAAAATTTTTTGAGAAACACAAACCAAACAAGGCCTTTGTTTTCGAGCCATTGTTCCCACATTGAAGGCCATCATCTTCAACCAAAGCTCTTGTTTGGGTATTTCTTTTTTTATTGGGGGGGGTTTACTTTTCTGTTTTAATTTGTTGTAACTTAATGTTTCTTTTTTCCTTCTGATTTCCAAGGGTCAATCTTCGAAGTTGAAACACAACTAGAATAACTAACAATCTTATTTTTTAAGAGCTAAACAAATATTATCATTGATTCTTCTTTCTTTGTAGAGTTTTCTTTCTTGTTCTTACTTCTGTTATCTTTTTTCTCTACTTTTATTTCTTTGGTTTGTTATTCCTTGCTCTATTTTATTTAATTTTTTTTTTTTCAAGGGAAGTAAACCGAAGTCCCGGATTTTACTTTCTTTTGCCCACAAATTTGTTTTCCATATATATATATATATATTTATATATTTTGGTTTCATGTTTTTTTAGCTTCAATGTTATACAATGGATATAGATAGAACTTATGAACGTTCAGAAGTTTCACTCTTGGTTACTTTTTATCAAGTAATTAGAACCAAGGGAAGGCCACTTTAATCTTTTCAGTGAACTTTGCAAATTAGGTATTTATGAAGCCAACCACACAATTCAAGTAGTTTCTAAACATACAGCCTTTTTAATGCTAATGTGATAGTTAGATCTTTTTGCAATCTCGGTTGTGACCACCTCTTCACTGTTTGTATGGGTTTTTTTTTTTAAAATTTTATTTTATTGAATATCTTATTCCCAAAATAAATAAATAAAAATGGTTTCTCTTCTTTCATGGGCAACCCTTTATTTCTTATTATTGTAATTTCTTTCTTTGTGTATTTTTTAAATATATGTTTTATTTTTGTGTGCAAGTATTGATGGGTGCTTTCTAATCTTTTTTATTTTTAAATGTTTAGGATTGCATTAGCTTGGTGGTTGAATTTGTTATATTTGCGGGCTAACTTTTTGTTGGCTTTTGAATGATAGATTTACAAAGTTTTTGAGTTTGTCATTTCATATGGATAATTAATAATTTCATCATTATGGGATTTTTTGGCTTTTTTGGGTAGTGATTGAGGTACTCACTTTCTCTCATTGTTATGGTCAAAAGGGCTACTTTTAAGCAATAGCTTGATTCCTTTTGATATTACATTTAAATCTAGGTTCAATAGATTCTTGGTGGTGGTGGTTTTTTTTTCTTTCCCCTAATAAATCTGTTAGGAGGTGTTGCCTGTTGAATATTGAAATTAAAGTACATAAAATCTTTTTTATTTTTAATATTATGCATATAATTTGTGATTGTGTCAATCACTAATTTAGTATTGTTTCCTTATTTATAACAATCATTTCCTAAATTGTATCATGAATCTATTATATATACATGGCCTCTACCTCATTCGTAGGTAAGCCAAATCATTCTTTTCATCCTTTTTGGTATCAGAGTCAGAGCACAGAAACCCTAGTTCTCTACCCAGCCACTGTCTCATCTTCTTTCTTCCTCCTTGAGTGTCGACAGTCCCCTTTCTGCCCTTCATTTCACCCGACAGCCCCACCTAGCCAGCCTAGACCCCCCAAAACCACCTACCCAACCCTCTACACCCCTCAACAAGCTGCCCTAGCGCTGCCGAGGGTCTTGTTGGCTGCCGACCAGGGTGTTTCCTGGCCATAGATGCTTCAACAACTCTTCTAGGGCAGTTCAGTCCCTGTTTTTTCCCTTTCTAGGGTGTGGTGTTGATGTTTAAGCACTTTTTGACCTATTTTATTTAGTGGACTACCATATTTGTTCGGCAACATTTATTTGGACTAGCCGTTAAGTTTTTTCCGGCTTCTTTCAGTCATTCATTGGCAAATTGCAATTGGTGAATATCTTCACACCAGTTTGAGGGGGAGTGTTGAATATAGAAATTAGAGTACATAGAATCTTTTTATTTCTAGTATTATGTATATAATCTGTGATTGTGTCAATCACTGATTTAGTATTGTTTTCTTATTTATATCGTTTTCTAAATTGTATCATGAATCTATTATATATACATGGCCTCTACCTCATTCATAGGAAAGCGAAATAATTCTTTTCATTGTTTTGTGCCAACTACTGGCTCAGCTGCAGGTACTGTTCCCCCTGCTACACCACCTATTGCCCTAGTTGCCTTAGTAGCACTAGGGGTTGTTCCTTCCTGTATACGATATTGTAAGTTTAGAGAAGAGAAAGAGATAGGGAATGAGTGAGACCTCATCCCCTTTTATATTAAGAATAAAGCATAATTACAAGAGTGCCATAAGGCATGAATTATAGGCCAGCTTATTATAGCCAATGACATCAATAAAACAAATCATAATAAAATATGTGAATATAATTTCCTTATTCTAACACTCTCCCTCAAGCTGGTGCGAAGATCTCTCTCATGCCTAGCTTGTTGAAAATGTCATGAAATGGTTTGCTCCCAATTCCTTTGGTGAGAACATTTGCTAATTGATCTCCAATCTTCACAAATGGAGTACATATGGTGCCACTAGTGAGCTTTTCCTTGATGAAGTGTCTATCAATCTCCACATGCTTGGTTCTGTCATGTTGAACTGGATTATGGGTTATGTTGATCGCTGCCTTGTTGTCACAGTACAATCTTATGGAATCGGTCTGACGGATCCCCAAGTCTTTCAACAATAGTCTAATCCATAACAACTCACATACACCCTATGCCATAGCCTTTAATTCTGCCTTAGCATTAGATCTAGCAACCATATTTTGTTTCTTACTTAGCCATGTGACAAGGTTGCCTCCAACAAATGTGCAATATCCAGAGGTTGATCGTCTGTCAGTGATTGATCCAGCCTAATCCGCATCAGTAAATGCCTCCTCACCAAGATGTCCATGTTTCGAGAAATACAGACCCTTTCCAAGAGAAGTCTTCAGGTACCTCGGAATTCTCATACCTGCCTCTAGGTGGGAAGTTCTAGGAGCATGCATAAATTGGCTAACTATGCTTAATGCAATGGCAATATCTGGACATGAGTGGGATAAGTATATAAGCTTGCCCACTAGCTTCTGGTATCTCCCCTTGTCCACTGGTTCTACCCCTTGATCCTCACTCAGTTTCTACCCGGTTCTAGAGGTGTATCACATGGTCTACCCCTAAGCATTTCAGTTTCCTTTAGCAAGTCAAGTACATACTTCCTCTGGCATATGAAGATGCGCCCAAGAAATATTTCAAATTACCCAAGTCTTTGATTTCAAACTCCTTGGCTAAGTTGTGAGAATATATTGTGTATATTCTCAATTTGGCATGATTGTGTATATTAGGAATTAGGAAAGATTGTGATGTAAATATTTGAATTGGTTGTTTTTCCCTTTTCAATCATAGGTTTAGGGTTATACAAACTGATAAACTCTTTGTAAATAAGATACAATTGAATATACAAGTTTATTCAGAAACTTACATGGTATCAGAGCTACGTTCGTAACCCTAGCCGCTTGATTCATGAATTCTTCTTCTGGTTTCTGAATCACGAATTGATTTAGTTCTCTCTCTCTCTCTCTCTCTCTCTCAATTCACGATTATCATGGTCGGTTGAAGCTCTCTCTTCCTTGTTCTGTCTGGTTTGAAGTTCTAGTTCATCTGGTCAGCGTCATCGGCTCACGTGGTTCATAATCGAACTGCGTAAGTGGGATTTCTGGTTCGTCAAACTCGCCTAAAGCTTGCATCTCTTTTTCTGGTTCAGATTTCAATCACGACTCCCTCTCTTTAGGTCTAATCACGATCACGAGTCTTTGACTCTCTGATTTTTTTTTTTTGGTTCATTATCTGTCTCTGCCTCAACGAGACCATAAACTATCTCCCAACATTAGCTCCAGCCTCTAATGCCGACCAGGGTCTTGTTAGCTACCGACCAAGGTGTTTCCTGGCCATAGATGCTTCGGTAACTCTTCTAGGGAAATTCGGTCCCTCTTTTTTTTTCCCTTTCTAGGGTGTGGTGCTGATGTATTAAGCATTTTTTGGCCTTTTTATTTAGTGGACTACCAGATTTGATCGGTAGCATTTATTTGGACTAGCCATTGAGTTTTTTCCATCTTCTTCCAGTCATCCGTTGGCAAGCTACAATTGTTGAATATATTTACATCAGCTTTAGGGAGAGTGTTGAATATAGAAATTAGGGTACATAGAATTTTTTTGTTTTTAGTATTATGTATATAATCTGTGATTGTGTCAATCACTGATTTAGTATTGTTTCTTTATTTATATTGTTTCCTAAATTGTATCATGAATCTATTATATATACATGGCCTCTACCTCATTCATAGGAAAGCGAAATAATTCTTTTCATTGTTTTGTGCCAACTACTGGCTCAGCTGCAGGTACTGTTCCCCCTGCTACACCACCTATTGCCCTAGTTGCCTTAGTAGCACTAGGGGTTGTTCCTTCCTGTATACGATATTGTAAGTTTAGAGAAGAGAAAGAGATAGGGAATGAGTGAGACCTCATCCCCTTTTATATTAAGAATAAAGCATAATTACAAGAGTGCCATAAGGCATGAATTATAGGCCAGCTTATTATAGCCAATGACATCAATAAAACAAATCATAATAAAATATGTGAATATAATTTCCTTATTCTAACACTCTCCCTCAAGCTGGTGCGAAGATCTCTCTCATGCCTAGCTTGTTGAAAATGTCATGAAATGGTTTGCTCCCAATTCCTTTGGTGAGAACATTTGCTAATTGATCTCCAGTCTTCACAAATGGAATACATATGGTG